GGGGGTGCAGGGGGAGGGCGCAGCGCCTCCCACGCGGAAAACAAGCTGGAAGAAGCGTGGCCGAGCTCGTACCATGTTGTATCTATGGGCCTTCGCCTGATCTTGCTGCGTCTCCAAGGATGAATGTATGTATGTATGTATGTGTGTGTGTCTATGTGTGTTTGTATCTATGGCTCTATGTTTGTATGTGTGTCTGTACCGTGTGTAGATAGAGAGCTGAATCGGCCACAGTGGCCCGACCGTATGTATGTATCTAGGTATGTATGTGTGTGTGTGTGTCTATGTGTGTCTGTATGTATGTTTGTATGTATGTGTGTATGTCTGTAAGTCTGTATGCATGTCGGCATGTATGTTTGTGTTTTTTGTACGTATCTGTGTATGCATGTATGCATATATATGTGTGTGTATATATGTTGTTGTTGTTGTTGTTGTTGTTGTTGTTGTTGTTGTTGTTGTTGTTGACGTGGAGTGGTAGTGGTAGTAGTAGTAGTAGTAGTAGTAGTAGTAGTCGTCCTCGTAGTAGCCCCCCCTCTAACCGTAGCAAAATACACTGGTTACCGTCGCAGAAAACACCTGGGACAGTTGCAAAAAACACCCCCGAACCGACGCAAAAAACACCGGTTCCAAACCGACGCGAAAAACACCGAACCTAGTCACCGTAGCAAAAAACACTGGTTACCGACGCAAAAAACACGAAACCCCAAATCTTTGGGTTCTTGAGATATCTAGTTGGAGGCCCGAGCTTTGATTCCCAAGACAATGCGGGCTGGGTTCCAGCGTGGCGTGTCACATTCCTGCTCTTCAAACATCTTGTCCAAACAACAAGGCAAGCACCCTGAGCAATGACAGACATCCAACAAAGATTTGGATGAACCACACGTGGATAATTATATGAGATCCCCAACAGTCAAACTCAGGATGTCTGCATTTTGTTCATGAAGAACAACTATACAGCGATTTGGTCATTCAATCAGGTTCTTTGCACACAACAACCCAGGATTTTGGCACACACCTGTGCAGTAGCGGCTCAGTAGCGGAAGTCTCATTGAAACCAGTTTCCGTGCTGTTCCAAAGGGTGGGGACAGCGTGGGGACAGCGGCACGGACGTGCGTCGGTGTGGGATAGCGCGCGTCGCCCATGCGCAGGGGTCAAGCCATGGACCGCAGCCGCAGCCGTAGCAGGAGGAGGTGGGCTGAGTGATGGGCTGGTTGCGAAAGGAATGGTTTGGCAGGGCATGATCAGGCCCAAGTCTGAAAGAACGAGATCGTATCCTGACTCATTGATAACAAGTCGTAGAGTTCAACATGATCGATAGAGATGGGCCAATCGATAGATGGGCTGATGCGTTTGTAATCTTAAAGAAGCAAGGGATTTGCTTGCTTACTTGTCTGGTCCTACCAGTTTTTGGATCAATGCAGTTAACATAGGCAACTCAGATGACATCGGCAGCTCATCAGCACCCGTCAGGGACAGCCGTGCCCGTGATACTCGGAAGGATAGCCGCAGGCCATTGTGGGACGGTGGGGATGTGCTACAGGATGTCAAAGAGTTGCACATTGTCATCTTGGCGAGCTTGATTATCAAACCGGGCAGCCACAACCATCTTTGTGGTCGAGTCTGTTCTGGAGGTACCAAGATTCAGCAACGTTTGTATCAGAGAGCCCCTGACCTACCAACACCCATTAGAAGTTGTTTGGAACACCATTTTATACAATGATATACATATCACAACTGCACATCATACAAACCAAGAGCACAAAAAACATCCAGAAACGATTTCAATCAAAACATGGTCTATGTGCTATACTTTCATCGAAGGCTTGCTTCGAGAGACAGCAGCTTATTGTCAAATAGTGTTTTTATGTGTTTTTGAGTTTTGTGAGATTCAGAGATCGCGAACACCTGGCAAAACCATGCATAAATCACCATTCATATCCTCAAATCTGATATTGCGCGCCAGTCGGAGTGGCGGCCAGGCGGGCCAAGGGAAAGGGTGACAGATGGCAAGCTCCAGATCTGAATCATAATCTTTGTGGAATGGCATTCAGTTCCATGTTCATTTGCCACAGAATCAGGCCCCCCCCCCCCCCCCCCCCGTTCTGCGAGTTTTCCAATAGAAATCAATATGTTCCAACGGTGCCTGATAGATTCAATTTCGGTTGATGGGAGATTTCCAGCACCACATCTTTCTCCATTCTTTGATGCGCGTAGGTTGAATTCAAGTCAGGGGAAGATTTCAATCCCCAGGGATGCTTGTTTAATAAAGGATTTGATTGATGTGCTCAAAACCACTCAAGGATGGCTCGAAGTTCAGGGCCCATTTGGCCGCAAAGCAAAGAGTCAATTTCAATCAGACTCAGATTCAAACTTCAAAAAGCATGAACAGAAACCTCAAACGCTTTGGTGATATCAACTCAAACAGCCTTCCCGCCATGTTTTTTCTTTTTAGCAACCTCCCCAAGAACTCTGTGAAGACAATAGATACAATGTATCATAATGTATCTAAACGTGTTTTGACAGGCCCTGTTTCCTTTGGGTAGACCACACCCCTCGCAACATCCGAACGCCTCCATGGATGCTCATGAGACGGTGCCGCCTTCGAACGGTTCAAGCCTACGCTCAAAGCTTTGGGCAGCGGTGATGCAGAGCAAAGCCATCAAGGTCAAGGAGTTGCAGGAGAGCAGCCTCCATTCTTGCAATGTATAGAGGAGGTAGGATATATAACCACTGCATGTAGATACAACAGAGTTATATAATACACACAAACACATTTTGTAATAAGGATGCAATTTCTGTCCATTCTCGAATAGTGGTTACATTCATGCAAGGATTTGCAACGGTTTGCAATGGGTACAGCAACAGCTCTTGGGGGAGTCAAGTGTCAAGAAGTCTAGTGGGAACTATATCCACTTTGCTTCTTGATCTTGCTTGGAGCCCTGGTGCTCATTCCAGGTTGGTATGTTGGACATGAAGGGCTGCAGAAGAAATTCCTCCCGCAACTCCCAGGTGTCGCCGTTCCAAGAGACACAAACCCTTCGTAGAACTACGACAGCATAGCCTACACACTGCTCAGAAGTGGACAAACGCTGGCTTTACTCACGGCTCGCTGTGTTCCGCCATTCTCAGTGGTGAGCAGTGGTCGCTGGGAGATGCCCAGCCACTAAAGCCAATGCAGCCACTAAGCCAATTTTTCTGGGTGGGGTTTAACCATCAGGGATAAGGATTTCGTTTTGTCCATGCAGTTTGTCCATAGCTACTCTCCGACGGTCCAGAAGGAAAGTACGGCTTGCCACCAGGAGTCTTGCGCATTCTACGATTGCGTGCGGAAGGATGTGCGGAAACTGCGTCCTCAGCTGGTGACTTGTCAAAAGGCTCAACCAAATCAGATCCTGTCGTGGGAGGAGTAAAATTTTCAAACAGACCAGTTCTTGCGAGTGTTGGACAGGATTCGGCATGTATGGCAAGGACTTCAGTGGACTTTTACTGACCTTGTGGCAGGACCTTTTCTCAGTGTGATCTAACGCAAAGCAAACGTACAGGCCTTGTTTGATGTCCAGTCCTGCTTGGTGCTTGATTGAGATTCTAAGCTCAATTGTGTTTATATAGTGAAAGTTGCCCTTCAACCTCAAACATCCTGTTCGCTTCCTGTTCCATTCCCAAACTACAGTGAATGGATTACGGAACTGTGGTCTAGAGTCTAGTTGGGATTCCTCATAACGTTGACACCTCCAGCATGGTAGTAGAGAGCATTAGTTTCCCAAGAAAGCCTTGGGACCTCAGCCGCAGCGGTGAGCCGGAATCTGGAATGACAGTCAGTTGACATCAACAAGTGTAGTACATGTCCAGGCAGGTTTGCCAGGGCAAAGCATGTCACTTGAGTCGAAAGCCAGTCGCTGCAGTCGATGGGTCAAACGGCAACTCTGCATGGGCATTCCGCTCGTCCCGGTGGCCACCCAGGGGGAGGACCGTGCCGAGGTGGTGGACGTGTGCGGCGGCCACGGTGCCCTGGCGATGCTCTGCGTGGCGCAGGGCGCCGCCGAGGGCGCCGTGATCATCGACCAATCAGCGCCTCCCAGCCACCGTCACTTGCGCGCCTTGGGCCGGTTTTTTGGAGGAACAAGGCATGGGATATCATGGGATGTTGTATTTGTTTTAGTTTTGGGGGGACTGCTGATTTATGATATTCTTGTGACATTCCGAAGGCGCTTGGTCCAGGTTTCCTTGTATCTGAGACACACGCAATGTGTGTCACAAAGCGTGAAACTGACAGCGATCGAATTTGATTGGCGCCCCTTGACTCAAGACTGACTTTGGGAGTATGTCCCGAACCCACCGATTGAGCGAATCTATCAGCATGTCCGAGAGTTCGTCCGAAGCCGGCGACTTCAGACCCACCGACTTCGGGAGTATGTCCGACTGTATGACAGACAATGAGCGATTTCTTCGCCCACCTAGCTTTCTGAACGCCTGTGAGGTGAGGCCTGGTCTCCATTCTTGCCAGGGCCCATCACCTATGATGAGCGGCCCCTGCAGGAGGTTGGGGGGCAGCCTCAAGGGTGTACATTTCAGGAAGTCCATCAGATGTCATCTCCACCATCTTTTTTGATCTTTTTTGACCATCAGAGTTTGTGCCTTGGAGAGTTGGAAATTCCCAAATGCTTCACAATTCGTGCCATGTTGCCAGGACTTGATGTGCCAGTGAGAATGTTGTAGGCATTTGATAGCGCATGTCGCTGGTTGCCCACAAAGATTCCTGTCTATCCTGGGAGGCCTTGCCCGAGGCTCTCAAGAGCGGCAAACGCATGTTGCTTGGAGACCTGTACAGGGTGACACCATGACTAGAAGCCATGGATGACGGACTAAGACATGTACCTGGGTTGTGTGGATGCGTGTCGGGTGTTTCCAACCCACTCCGCTCTCGATCGCTCAACGGCGCTCGTTCTCGCCGCGCTTACGCAATCCTCCGCCTCCTGCAGCGAGGTTCGTGCTGGCATGTCATGCGTGCCAACACCTGGCGTGGCAGATCATGGAGATGTGCCAGAGTTCCCGGACGCCCTTCGCCGTTTGTCCTTGCTGTCCGAAGGACCATGGAGGTGCGATGCGATGGTTATCATCATGCCCGAGAGTCCGATGCATCATGCGCTGATGGAGTGTCGCAAGGTGTTGAGCGGTTGTTGTTCTTAAGATGTGCATTTGTTGAGAGGAGGATTGGCTTCAGGAGATGGGCATCTTGCGTTTTCACCTCCACTGTCGGACCCAACGATGTCCGGAGCCATGTCGGAATCGAGATCGCACGCAGGCACCATCAAGGCTGCTGCCAAGTCTTTGGGGGTCGACTTCCGAGCCGCCATGATTCTAGCGGCTGCTGGGACTGGGAGTCACCCTGAACTGGTGTTGTCCCTGTGGTGTCATGTTGAAGTTGTGTAGATGGATTGTTGGGCACTGGCAGGTGGGAGTTCTCCTTGAGCCTTTGAAGCTGCAGATGTGCCGTCCCGGGTGGGTGTCCCGTGTTTGCTTGTCCAAGCTACCAGAAATATACTTCCTTTCCATCTGGTCTGTATGCAGGTTCATAGATCAAACGCTGCTCCTCAAACGCTGCCGGAACTGGGCAACATGTGAACTTGCCACTCAGGAGTTGGGGCGACTCTCTTCCCAAGACTGGGCTTCTGCACTGCGAACCTTTGACGAGAAGGCGCGAAACGGAAAGGGGTCCGGTCTTTGCATAAATTAGCATTTTGGATTGCTCTGTCATTTTTTCAGACCTTGGTGGCGTTTGGCTTCTGGTGGCTTTTGGCCTTGGGCTGGCCTTTAGTTTTGCCTTCTTCTCTAAAATCACATACTGTAGATGCGACTCATTATTTTCTGCCCGCCATTTACATAAAACATATATATATAATCATCACTTTTCTGCCTTCAGAAAGGTACTATATATTTGTATACTTTCTTCTCTACAAACAGCTACTTGCTTGCTTTCGACTGTACCTGCCATTGACCAAACCACCATCAAAAGAACATCTTTGGACGCTGCATGTCTTATGTGAGAGAGAACAACGCTGCATGATAAGGGCGCCATTTGGCATATGCCAAACCCACAGTCCGGTTGGGAGTCTTCATGGATTTTCATGTAGCAACGAGTTGCGCAGGAAAGAGAAAGTAAGCGTAAGATGTG